GGGTGCCGCCGGGACCGCAGCGCCGGCTCGTTGCGCCCCTAGGCGGTGTGGACGCGCGTGCCGGGGAGAGGGCAACCAGTAATTTGGTGCCGCCCCTCGCAAGCGCTGCCAGAGCTGCCTCCCATCTCGCCGGCAGCCCTGCGGAGTGCGTACTGGTGGCCCCATTTCACAGGCTGGGAAACAGAGACCCAGAAAAGACTTGCCCAAGGGAAGAGACCTGCTCAAGGTCACAGGGCGAGTCTGGTCCAGAGCCAACTGCCCTCAACACTGGGGTGGCAGATTCCTGTTGCCTCCCACGTCTTAACCAGGGCGGGAAGGAGCAGAGTCAGGGACCAACCTGGGTGGCTCTACCTGTGGGCAGCACCCATTTGCCAGTCTCAGAACTCGATTCCTCAGCTGTCAGGTGGGAAGACAGTCCCAACAATCCCACAAGCAGCTGGAGGTTTAAATCCCAACTTCCATTAAGTGTGTCACCTTGGGCAAAGTACTATCATTCTGAGCTCAGTTTCTACCTCTGTCAAAGAGATAATTATAGTTCCGGCTTTTACAGTCATTGAGAGGATGAAACCTTGGAAATTTGTATTTGTACTTGGAAACCTTTCATTTAGTACAGAGCCTGGCTGATTTTGCGAGGTCTCATTAAACTCCAGGAAGCCGTTATCGTGGATGGGAAAGTGTGTGTGTGTTTTTACTATCCCTCCCCCTGGGAAGCTTGCCCTGGGCGGTAGCCGCTGTGTTCACACCTAGGTTAGAGCTCTATCGCCTACCCTTTTGCCTCGCACGGTAATGAGCCTCAGGTGTCAGGCCCAGAGTTAGAGAACTGTCCTGGGGCAGCACATCAGCTGATTCCCTCCCGGCCAGCCCCTGCAAGGTTCGTGAATGGGCGGTAGCCTGGTGCCTGATAAACACTCGATTTGAACAGGACGTCTGATGTGCCAGGAGTGCCCGCTGAGTTGTCTCCAGGAGGCAAGTGACTGTGCAGCAGGGCATGGGTATGAGCAGCCCGAAAGCCTAAGTGTGCGACTTCGAGGTCCTCCTCCTGGTCTCAGAAGTTGTGGGGGTGTTGTGTGTCTGAGCAACCACCATCCCAATATGCAGGCTTCCTTCGGTGGGCCTGACACCGGCTTTGGCTCCCGGTCCCAGCAGTATGGTCCTAGGTTTCCTCTGTAAAAGAAAGCCTTTTACTTACAACCATCAAGGTCTCAAGTGGTGTGGGGTGGGGCCAAGAGATCTGTATGAAACTAAGCGCAGGATGGGGGTGTCTGGGACTCCAACCACCCCTCACCGCCCGTCTTATGCACCGAAGCCTGGGGGCCCCGCCCCCAACTCTCCTTCAGGGCTTGTCTGGCCTCTGGGGAGCCTGGGACACCCATACCCCCTTTCTGCCTCTGCAGCTTTCTTCCCACCCATTGGTACTCACTAGCTCCCAGTCCCTTCCTGGAGGCGTCTTCCCCTCTCCCGCCGAGGGGCCCCCTTGGCCCGCCGGCTCGGACCCACCCATTTCCTGTGCCGCCCCAACTCCGCCTCCACTCGCGGTGGAAAGTTTCTCTCAAGATGGGCGGCTCCTTCTTCCTCCCCGGCGGGCCAAGAAAGCCCAAAGCGAGTGGGGAGGTGAGAGGTGGGTTCTCAGACCTCCGGCAAGAGGGGAAGTGACTTGGCCGCAGTCACACAACCGCAGCACCAGGCTGGGCCAGCTTGGAACACTCCGCAACCCCGGGGGAGGGAGGATTTGCACTCTGCCACCGCCAGCGATTTTTCCACTCAGGGTCTCCGTCGCCACCTGCCGGCGCACCGCGGGGCCGCACTTGCCCAAAACACCGCTATCTTTCTGCCCCAGAGCAAAGCAGTAAGAACACAGAAACACTGAGAGTATTTATTTACCTATGCGCCCAGGAGGCTGGCTCCTAAACTTAAATATCCAGCATGGAGCCTTGGCCTTCCTGGCCGTGAGGGGGTGCAGGAATGGGTCCTGGAGCCCTTGTCTAGGGTAGTGAAACACAGGGACCAGAGGAGGGATGCTCCTGAGCCTACAGCTGCCAACAGCAATAGGTGAAAAGGTGATGGGAACCAGACACTCATCCCAACTCCAGAGATGCCAAGGGGAGTGCGAGATGCTTTGGGCCCCACTGCCAGCCTGAAGGTTGGCCAAGCTGGGGTGCACACAAGCTGTGGGAGAAGTGGAGGTCCAGTGCCCTGGGTAGAGGCTGTAGCCCAGGTGCCTGCCCCAGTGGCAGCCAACCCAAGACAGGAGAGGGTTGGCAGTTGTGCCTCTGAAGGGCCCAGGCTTTGCCCTCCTGTGAAGTGAGGTGGTATGAGGGAAAGCAGGCACTATAGTCTGAGTACTTGCTGAGGGGTGTTTTTGAGCCTTTTTCATGGGTACGTGCCCCCCACGACCCCACCCCAATTCTTCAGAGGCTGATATGGAAGGCGTCTTGCAGCCACTGGTCACGGGCATTGTGTGTCTGGGGCACAGTGAGGGGCGGTGGGTCTGGGGGCAGGCTGGCATCAGGAGGCTCGTCGTCATCAGATAGGCCAGCATCAGGTGGGTAGGAGCTGTCTGAGTGCAGGGAGGATGACAGGTCCTGGCACAGGCTCAAGTCTTGGCACAGGTGCTTATAGTCCTGGATTGACTCGTACAAGCCCCAAAGCTGGCACAACAGGGACATGTCCAGCTGCCGCAACCCCACCTGCAAAAGACTGAGGGTGGGCTGGGGTTGGGGTCGAGGCCACCCTTGGCCCAAGCCACAGCCCTAGCCAATTTTCCCACACTTTCTAAGCACAAGTTTTGTGGAAAAAGACACCACCTGCAAGCTGTGAATCTTTAGGCAAGTCACTGATCCTCATCTGTAAAATGCGGATAACATTTATCTAGCAGAATGGAATGAAGACCAGTAAAGCATTTAAAAATACAGGGCAACCATTACCGTAAGCGTTAACTGCAATTATTGTTACCATATTCCCTCTGACCCAACGGGCTTCAGCATGTCCTCTGAGACCCAGGTCGCCTGTTCCTGGTTTCATGCCAGTGACCCGCCCCACCCGGCCCCGGGACCCTTAAGCTTGGTGGCAGCCCCATCCCCGCAACCCGCATGCCCAACCCCTGGCCCAAGGCCCAGCTACTCACCATCTCCTTGCGCAGCGCCGCTAAAGCCGAGTCGAGGTTGACAGGACGACGTGGGCCGGGGGGACCCGCGGCGGGTCCCGTGTTGGCAGTGCCTGCGGCGC